TTAATGAAAACTCATTAAATTAAATTACGCAAATAGGTGAAATTACCCAAATTGCATGGCTCGAAAGCAGAGAACAATGAAATTGTAACGGAAAGCCGCAAGAAAAGGATAAAAGGAGGTGTGGAGCTTATATAATGATTCCACTGCTACTCGCGGCACATTCATACCGATTGCCTATGGTGCTTTGGCCATGCTGGCAGGCAAAGCATTAATCGTTTCCAAGCTAGCACTGGTCCTCGCTTCGATTATTGGCATTAAGAAGTTACTCGGTAATAATAACAAGGAATCGCATGAAGTTGTCGTCTCCTCCGGTGGCCATTCAGGTTGGGGGCGAGACATGGACCTGGCATACAGCGGCTGGAAAGCTGGCAAAGAGCATACAAAGACAATGTAGAGTAGTTAGTAAAATGAATGGTGAACGTTCAGTAACCAATACAGTGACAGGTGACCAAAGATGTTGACGACAAAAGCTAGTTAAATATTTTAATTATTTATTTACTTAATTATTTTAAATCCAGAACTATGACAGTCAAATATGTGTGTTAAGTTTTCGCCTTTAACTATTTAGTTTAAATTAACAATTATATAAGTTCATATTGAAAATAAAAACATAAGTTGTTTCAAAAAGTCCAGTCATTCATCGCTTTGCCTTCATTAACAGAACCTATGCACGTAACAATCTTCAATCGAGGAGAAAGTTATAGTTTTGTTCACCTAACGGTTGTTGTATCACCTAAAACTAATCGAGTTAGATAAGAGTATATATATATATAAATGATCAGGATGAAGAGACGAGTTGAAATCCTGACTTGTCCGTCCGCTCCGGCAAGCTCTAACTTGAGTAAAATTGAGATATCTTTATGAAACTTGGTAGACATGTTTCTTGGTACCGTGAGACGGTTGGTATTGCAGATGGGCGTAATCGGACCACTGCCACGCCCACAAAACGCCATTATCAAAACAAATAAATTGCCATAACTAAGCTCCCAAAAGATACAAGACTTTATTTGGTAACAGGATACATAGGAGGGGCATCTGCAGTTACATTTTTAAGTGGGCGTGTCCCGCCCTAATAGGTTTATGTGCATATCTCCTAAGCCGCTAATGCTATAATTTAAAAAAATATAAAAATTTTTTAGGACCTCTACCTACAGTGTGAAAATGGGTGAAATCAGGTGGCAACTCGCCCACTCCCCATATAACGGTACTGTTAAAACTACTAAAGCGCGATAAATCAACATAAACACGCCAGACATTAAATTTTATCTCTGGGATGGTATGAGATGACTTTGTAGGAACGCGTTCAAAATTAGATCAGTGGGAGCGCACAGCCCACTTTTAGGTGAAAACCATATCTGAGATCTGCTTAACCACCAATTCGGTACGAACATTCTTCTATATTCTATGTTAGTACGAAAAATGGGCGAAATCGGATTACAACCACGCCTATTTCCCATATAACACCATTTTCAATTCCATCTGATTCTTTCACTTTCCAGTATGCAAATCAAGCAACAATATTGTATCGGGAAAACTTTGCTGAATAATACATTTAAAGTATGCCACCTTGTGACCAAAATTGTCTAAATGCAACGCAACCAAACAATACCCAGTGCCTATAGTTGACCTTCTACCGAAAAAATCAGTCAATCCAGATCCATCCATTTGACTTTGCGAGAGTATAAAATGGTCGGTTATATCCGAACTTAGCCTTCCTTACTTGTTGCTATTAAATTTGTCTCTCGTAACTTCGTCTCCATACAGACCCCAGGTGGTTGGCAAAATCCCCGCTGAACCTCCCCGAGGGTGCCGACTGTATACAAGTAGATACCACAGAATCCCGACGAAGGCAGGGTCGAGCTGGAAACAGTTCGCCACTGTTGCAGTGGGAGGTATCTAGCTAAGGCCTAACTTTTTATTTCAATAGCACAGCATTCAGATGGGTAGTCTTACTATGGTTGGCCCTAAATAGCGCAGTTCTAAAATAGAGCTTTGCTACCTGGCGTCCTCCGTAAAAAGATAGCCTTACTTGCGTAACGGACTTTTCCTTAGACGTTTGGGTCCAAAATATGAACCAACTAGGAACTAGTTCCGAAAAAGAAAAGGTTTGCAACGAGCTCGAAAACAGTCGGTACAAAGAGAGAGCAAAGTTTGTTCTAAATGCAAGGGCTGGCACTAGCAAAGTGTTGAGGCTAGCTAGCTTCTGATGGCAACAACACCAGCAGCAGCCGGAACCAAACCGGTAGCCAAGTATGGCTGCAAGCAGGGAGGGATGAAGATGTCACAAAGGTGTCACTGCTAACAGGGCGTCTGCCAGGAATGCCTTGTTTTAATGTCGATGACCCAACGAAAGCTTATATGCGGAGAAGCGACGTGCTGCCAGAATCTTGATTGCATGAAAGCAGTCTTGCCTAATTAATGAGAAGCGCCAGCAGTGGCAGCCATGCAACAGCCAAAAGATCGATGACAAGAGTAACGCCTCAAAATCGCTCGGCGTTTGGCTTTGTCAGGCCATATTAACCTCTTTGTTAAAGCATAATTTAATTCGAGCTTTGTAAACTTAAATTTTAAATCCGCTGCGCTGAAAAACTATAGATGTTAAAGAAAAGGTTAACCCCCCCCCGCCTGAGCTGCTGTGTAGGGAAAGTACACACGATGTGATGATGGTAGTGTTGGTTGGGTAAGCGCTTTGATTGTTGCGCTACATATTGTGCTCCATGCCATGCCAGCCATTTCAGTCACCCACCCACTGTACATATGGTATTGGTATGTGTATGACCTTATTGCTGGCAAGGTTTTATTCCTTTGGCATTTGGTATGTGATTTCACATCAATTACAAACGATGTTTTCTTTTAAATGCCTTCTTCATTTCTTTTTGCTCACCCCTCCTGCATATTGAACCTTATGTTCAAATAGTTGCAACAGCCTATTTAATGGCAATTTTATCGCCCGAGCGGTGAGCAACAGATATGAACTGAAGTTGCTTTCGAATTACATAATTAATATGGAATTGGGGTTGCACTCCAAACCTAAAATTGCCTTTCCTAACCCATTGCTTTTTTTTTGTTTTTATCTGTTCTTAGTTGTGAATAAGTGAGTAAATACTAGAAAGTATATATAAGTATGTATCAATAGTCGCTTGCAACAAAAAAAAAGAAAAGAAAATCGTACAAAACACAAATTGTGTTAATTAGTGTTAACACTTAATTTAAATGTTTATTTTTGAATTGGCGAGACATATATAGTAATATATGCGCTTTACGTATTATTTCTTTTACCAAAACAACAACAAATGATAAATAATCTTAATTTCTTGCAATAATAATCGTATTAAATGCGCCATGTATATATGCATATTCTAGCATGGGCTTAACATACAGCTGTGAGGGTAAGTATACATGATAACATCTATTACGCAAACTCTTAATATCGTTCGCTAATTAACTTTTAAACAATTTTTTTGCCATAATTTGTGTTGACAATTTCCCCACTCGAAATTCGTGCGCTTGTAAGTGTTTATTAAGTATGTAGTTCACAATTCACAGCTTTTGTTTAGTTGTCTTTTCAATCCGTTCGCTGTTGTTGCCTTCTTTAGTTAAGTTGTTTGCGTCAGTTTAGGCGTGCGCACATGGCGCATGCGAGCGCACCGTTTGGTGCGCGCCACCCCTATGCCAACCGCGGCTGGCGCCTAACAGCAACTCCATTTACCCCGCTCACGACCGGCTGTGGCGATGCACGCTTTTGCTGTTGTTCGTGTCGTTTGTTGGAACCGAACATTTTACCAATACTATGTTGCATTTTGCTCGGCGTAAAAATGCTGGGTGTGGTGTTTAGGCTTGTGACTGCAGCAAATTACAAAGAAACATTGTTTTTAGTTCACGGCATTGGCGATTACTTTTTTAATCTCTAATCCATGGCTTATCGTATAGTTGAAGAGTACTAGTATATGGCGTTTGAAAAGTGGGGCATGGATATGATGCTGTCGTAGCGTTTAGTGCATCGATAAAATGTCAAGCAGAATACATGCTTGCTCATGCATATATACTTTTTCCTCTTTTGTATGTGAAATATGCGCTCAGAGCGTGGGCACACTCCAGCATATGTTTCATTATCAACCGTGACTTCAGTAACCTAGTTGCTTTAGTATATACTATATACTATAACGTATATATGTATGGTCTTATTAATGGCGTCAGATAGGGGAGCTTCATGTTATAAGTTCGGAATAGAAAATTCAAAAGGCCACGTTCTTTTGATAGAACTTCTATGAGATCGCTTAAAGAAATGCTAAAGTTACCACGCATCCTCCAACCTCCAGCCGCAGTCCCATTTATTTTGTGGACTTGATTCATATTAAATCAGCCGTCAGTACGATGTCAGGGAGCTTATTATAAGCGTGTATATGCACACTTGCACATCATGTATATTAGTCCAACATAGTCATTTTTTGGAAATATCAAATCTCAAATAATAATAATTACTGAATTTTTATTGTAACTACTATAGACTTAAGTAAGGCTTTTTAAAACACCAAAAGGATCACTTAATCCGTCACCGACCAGGGCACTTGCAATTGCGCCAAAAAACTTGAACAAACAAGTAGGGAAGAGCTAAAGTTCGGGTAGGAATACACGAACTTGTTCCTATACTCTTGCAACTTTGCACGATGAAAGGAAAGAAAGTACCTTCAGTTATTAGAAGACTTTATTTAAAAAAAAAAATTCGGGAAACAATTCAAGCATTCATTTATTTATTGCACTTTTTGACTAGTTTTAACGGTAACCGTTTATATATATCATATAGCTTGAAGTGGAGTTAGGACGGTATTACTATATATAATTATTAGGAGCGCAGCCACGCGCACTTCAAAAGTTTTCGACCTAGATGGCCCTCTCCAATTAATCTTCTGTACCAAAATTAATGAGTTATATGTCTAGATTTGCAATGTTGTTAAGGCGCTATTGTGCAGGGTGCGCAGTGTCTAGACGATTGACGCCCATTCTCATCAACACAAACGTTCCATATGGGTGCCCAAGGATCATGTTGATTTCATAAAGATATCTGTATTTTTACTTCAGCTTAGCTTCACGTAAGGACGACAGACAAGATATCCGAATTTTCAACTCCGTCCCGTCATCCTTTCATGCTATATTTACATAACTCCATATCTATCTTGATTTAGTTTTAGGTGATACGCACAACTAAATTACTCTGTAACAACATTGTTGCAAGAGTATAAAAATGTTTGGAAGGTAGTGAAACACATTCATTCATATATGATGCTAGTATATGAACTATGTAGGGAAACATAGATTAAAAATTCGCTGATAAAAGAATCTCAACGTAACCTCGAAGATTCCACAATCTCCCAAAAAATGTTTGAAGCCATACCAAGGTCGTGTGGGGGAAAAATGACATGGTTGT